ATACATAAGAGACCAAACCGATACACCCTGCGAAAGACACCCTTATATTAAAAAACCTACCCGGACCACTTTAAATATTCTGGCTACGCTGAAAACGATTTGTCCCATTGCTCTTGTTTTTTGTGTGTGGCATTTAGTAGTTGCTCTGTGCCGAAAGAGAAATGAGACAAATCGTTTTCAGCGTAACCAGAATATTTAAAGTGGTCGGGGGGGGTAGTTTTTTTTAGTATAAGAGTGTTTTCCGCAGGGTGTATCGGTTCGGTCTCTTATGTATTTCGTATTTATCACTCAGAAATGTCTGTGCCAATGGAGAAATAAGACAAATTATTTTTAAAAAATCCAGGAACGTTTCAAACTTCAACTAGCTCCCAGATTCAACATCACAGACACTGAAAACTCCTTACCAAACCATTTTAAAACTAAATCAATATTTAAAAACATGATTACGTTAAATTATGTAGATTTTTCTCCAATTTTTAGGCTTTTAGCCACCATATTGGATCAGCCATCTTGGATTTTAAAACGGGGCACATGACTTTCGAAAATACTAGTAAAGACTAATTTTTTGAGCTATCGAACGTCTTTGTAGGTCGCTTCAAATTTTGGGCAGACAAGCGATCCGGTTGACGTGAAACGTTCCATATATATATATATATATATATATATATATATATATATATATATATATTATAGAAAGGGGAGAAGTCGGCCCTTTTTTTTTGTGCGGATTTTTAAAAACAAAAAAAATCTTTTTAGTGAAATATAATATACCATTGTAAAGAGTGAACCTTTAGCTACAAAATTTATACAGACATTTTTGGTCTACGTCGCTTTGTTCAACCGGTATAGAGTAAAAATGACAAAGGTGCAAAAGTCAAAATTCCCGGGGCGGAGTCGTGTCTTCATTCTCGGACTGGATTTTAAATAAAGATACATAATTTTGATCATAAAAAATAATAGAATACACTTTATTCAATGTTTTTTAGTAGAACAATAATTTCATCAAGAAAATCAATTTTCTTTTTCGCTATCAGTATCATTGAAACAATTAAAACATTTAAAGACAGAGTCTGTCGAGCGCACGCACTCGTTGTGTGCCTTACGCCTGCACGAATGCACTGTTTTTCGTCGGCTCGGTTTTCTATCATGTCCGAGCATACGCAGCTCATATTATTTAATTTTCTTGACTTCGTTTTTCGCCCACTGCTCGTTGAAGGCTGCGGTTCTGATTGCGTGGCATTTTTTTTACAAAATCGACCATTACCACTACGCCGGCCTCTCTTTCTCGGCGTAGTGGTAATGGTCAATTTTGTCGTTCTCTTCCTTGTAGCAGATTTCTCATCTTTCTTCTGCTTCGACTCTGCCTGCTCAGTCGCCAATTCCTTCATTTGAGGTGAGTCAGTAAAGACGACGGTCGTTCTTCGTTTTCGTCCTTTACGAGTTGTCTGCCTCGGAGCGGCTTTAGGAAATGCTCGAATACTTTCAAGCGTTGCTCTCAAGTTCCGTGTATCATCACGACGGAGCATGGAAGAATCCGTGAAATCGAATTCATTTTTATTCTGTTCGGCTGCGTCAGGTTCAGCTGATGTATCCGGATCGGCTGCGTCAGGTTCGACTGATGTACCCGGATCGGCTGCGTTAAGATTGGCTTCTTCGGGACCAGCGGAAGTAGAAGGGTTCTCCCTATCCGTAACGCTACTCAGCAAAAATTTGTATTCTTGGAAAATGTCCGGGTTGAATAGAGAAATTCCAGTGCATTCAAATCCGGACACAATATTTTGATGCGTTACGGCAAGTAGCAGTGCCTTAGTCACGATTCCAGGGATGTCATATATCGTCATGGTTCTACCAGGATTCCACAAGCTGCTCCTTGTCGACGACAGCCGTTTTGCGATGGTACGCGCGTACCATTTTTCTGAAATACAATGACGCATTTGCAACGGAAAATAGACGAGTCCGCCCCGGTGGCTTGGTCGCGACTTCGCCCCGAACACAAGTTTTAGGTTTGGTCGCTTATAAAATAATAGAAATCAATGAAAATAAACAAACTTTATTGGATTCGTGTTCACCATGCATTACTCTTTAGAATCACTTACGTTGAGATTTGGAGAGACAATAATACTAAAGATATTACAAACTTTCGACGCGGAAGAAATTTCACTTTCGACCTGCGAAAACACGTTTGCTTCGATAACAATCACAACATGGCACGTAACCTCACTAAACTCCGTTGGTCACGTGGGAACCATAATTACAACTGATTTCTTTTAAAAATAATGTAATCGTATTTACAAATATTGAAAAATTGAAAAAAATAAAAAAATTAAAATTAAAAAATTAAAAATATTTAAAAATAAAAAATTTTAATTTAAGAAATAATTAAGAAAGAGGGATGCCAAGCGGATTCTAAATTACGATTTTTAAATATAAAAGTGGCTATAACTCGGAAACGGCTCATTTTCAGACCTATGTTTGTATGAACTTTTTTGCTTGTTTTTGGGTCCCGAATCACCTCCCGAAGTGGAGTAGGCGATTTCTCGGACACCCTGTATATATATATAGGACTTATATATATATATATATATATATATATATATACCTAACCTTGCGCTACGACCACCACGAACCGAACTTGTCCGGTTCGGCGGATGGAAGGGGCGGACTCTCCTTTGCTCAAGAGCAGGCGCAGGTCGGTGGCACGTCGTTCCGAGGAACGGTGAGTGGATTCCGCTCGCTCCAAGTTGGAGCGGAATCTGCAATGTTCGTCTCAATCACAGTCGCTACAGCCGGTATATGTAACGCCCGGGAGCCTCAATGTGAGAGAAGAACTAACTCGTCATGGGCAGGCTCGCCCTTATTCTTTCGGCTGAATTTTGAGTGCGAGTAACGACAGCCGCCCCGCAGCGACAGGTGTTACTCGCGCTCGCGGCGCGCAAGTGGGGTGGTGCCACGCGCGCCCGGCCTGGCGGACTTTGAGCGCGCGAAACGGGTTGCCGCACTTGCAGGCGCGCCGTCGGAGGACGGATTCGAACAATATATGATATGCACGGAGAGAAAAATCTTACCACTGTGGTATGAGCGCCTCCTATGCATAAAAAACAGTAGCGCTGCCTTGCATCAAACGCATATTTGTCCGTTTAAAGCAAGGATAATATCCTACTTTACAGGGACAGCGTTTCGTGTCCGATAAGCAATAACTTCATACAGATATCGTGTGAAAACGGTTATGCTTGTAACGTAGAGTTCATGCCACCACAGGCATGAAGTAGGATATTATCCTTGCCTTAAACGGACAAATTCATACGTTTGATGCAAGGCAGCGCTACATGCTTTTTATGCATGGGAGGCGCTCATACCACAGAGGTAAGATTTTTCTCTCCGTGAGACATGACGTTCTTGCGTTCAAAGCAAAGCAGCTGACATGCGCTGTTGGTAAGAACTGCAACTTCCCGAGCATGCCGTTAACAGCGTACACGCATGAAGATTTCACTAATATAGTAGGGATATCTCTCGTACTCGAAACGCGTTATTTCTTACTATAGGAGTATATATGATTTTTGCTAGTGACGTATGCGGAGAGGTTATGCGTTATAAGCATGGCTCTCCATGCTACAGAGGTAAGATTTTTCTCTCCGTGTGGAGGGGTAAAAGCCATAGTGGTGTAAGTCAAATTTTTTAAAATATTGACTCGTGTGCATAGATGCAATCTATACAATATATAAACTGCATCTATGCACACAAGTCAATATTTTAAAAAATTTGACTTACACCACTATGGCTTTTATCCCTCTATATGTATAATTACAATATAATTATTAATGTAATTAATATTTTAAACATTATATAGGTATGTAGGGGAGACCGGGGCGAAGTCGTCACCGGGGCGGAATTTTTAGCGCGTCGAAAATTTGTAATATCTTAAATATTATTGTCTTCGGGTGCGTTCGGTTTGGACGCTCACGCGCTGTAAGCGCTCACGCTTATAAGCGCTGTTTTCAATCGTTCGATTTGGTATCTAAGCGCTTACACAATAGTAAGAAATGCCGTTCGTTTTGGCAATGTAAGCAACTATGAGCACGTCAAAATGGCAGACAATAGGTTGTTGTGTGTTATATTTGCACAAATAATAACATTATTAGAATTATTATTTGATAAGAAAGAATATTTAATTTTTAAAATAAATTTTTTTTTTTAGAATAAACCGAGCAACTATTAATTTTATTCTACAAATTTTAAAACCTAAAATTACTAATTGTAAGATCAAATTAGGACGTAAAACAATATCACCTAAAAAACAATTATTTATCGCTATATGAAAAATGGTCACCCCGGATTCACATCGGTATGTTATTAATATTATTATTACACATTGTTGTTTCAATTTTTAAATCAAATAAAGGGAAGTGAAAGAGGCAATGCCACGCGCGGTAATTAATGCGCAATTAAAATAAGTCAATAATAAAATAGATATATTAGTTAATACAAATTCGGACGTTTCGACCACGGTCTTACACACAGGTCTGGAAACTCAGACCGATGTTGGTGGTGGGGGATGGTCGTTTTAGCAAGGAACAATTTATTTCACGGCGTTGTCACCATGCATCGCTGTCATCGCGAAGTGTAGATGGTAACCCATGGTAACGTGACAACAATCTTTTAATTGCGCTTAATTCAAGTGCATTTTTGAAAATGACATTTCATGACATTTTTTGATGACATTTCTTTGAGCACATTTCTAAGTTGAAAGACTTTTTCAGTTTTTGAGGACATGGACAGCGACATGGATTGAAAATAACATCTTTCTTCTGTAAATCTTTTTTTATATGACATTTTCTTTCTTTAAATAACTGTCACAGTAAAAAGGTTGGTATCGACCTTAATTGTGTGTACAACTGCATTGATATTTCTTGAAATGAGAATGTAAATATTGTGAATATACTTGTAAATTAACTATGGATTTTCAAAACGGGTTATTATTTACTTCATTATTTACTTCCTAAAGACATGAGTCATAGCCTTCAACTTTTTAATTAATCTTATAAAACCGAGGCATACATAAGGTAAGAATCAGAATTAATACAAGTCGACGGCGCTCATACCGCGTCATCTTTAAATAGTGTAAATTAAGAATAAATTATCAATTTATTAATTTGCGCATTCGTATAATAAAAGATTTCAAACGTTTTTTCTCAATACAAAGTTATTTATTATTCCTTTCCTCATTTAGAACTTCAATTATTGCCTATCTGACACTCACGATTTTGAATTTACTAATTACTATTTCCGTCCTTGTCCCACCACATAGTACACTGACCGATGGCAGCGACTCTTGCGGTCACAAAGCGAGTTATTTTCTTCGTCGCTAAGACGACCATCCCCCACCACTAGAGTTTCCAGACCTGTGTGTAAGACCGTGGTTTCGACACTTTTTGTGTCATCTTCAGCGTAAAAATGAAAATAATACATGAAAATTTCAGTCGATAAATTAAGACGATAAATTACAGTCAATCGCGATAAAATGAGTCAATCAGTAGAAAAGCGCAGTCAAATCAATAAAATAAAATTCATACAAATGTTTGGTAGTCTGTCAGGATGTGCCGATATGCAAATGCTCCGAATCGATCGCATCTTCGACGTTTACTCTCAGGTTGGAAGACCAGGTAGAAAAGAGAGATTCGATTGTCCTTTCTAAACCGTGAATCGGAGTCGCAATATGTTAAAAAACGCAATGTATCAGTATTAAAATTACAATCACAAATTCTTACTTAACGGAGCATTACAGACCAGTAAGTCGCAGTGTTAAAATGTACCTGTCGCTCTGACATATCGTGAGTGAGTGAAGCATTGGTAGAAATCGGAAGGTTAACATAATAAAAGCGGTGTGCTTAAAAGCGTTAAGGTGCGATTTCATTGACGCTAGAAACCAGCGGCAGCGTCAAGAAAATGTAGTGGGGGAAGAAGTTTCGTTGAATTTTGCGGTACGCTAAAAAGTTGAGACGGTCTGAACTTCTTCCCCCACTACATTTTCTTGACGCTGCCGCTGGTTTCTAGCGTCAATAAAATCTCACCTTAACGCTCATAAGCGCTTACAGCGCGTGAGCGTCCAAACCGAACGCACCCAAAGTGATTCTAAAGAGTAATGCATGGTGAACACGAATCCAATAAAGTTTGTTTATTTTCATTGATTTCTAATATTTTATGAGCAACCAAACTTGAAACTTGTGTCCGGGGCGAAGTCGTCACCAATCCATATGGAGGCTTCTGACGAAAATCAAAGTCAAAGAAGCAGCAGTGGTCGGATTCCGGCGAGGACTTGGATAATATGTGCTGCGTATGCTCAGAGATGACAGAATAGAGCTGACAAGAAACGTGCGAGCGTAGGGCACATAAATGTGTGCGCTTTTCTTGTAATTATTTTCCGCCATCGTGTTTTTAATTCGTAATTTATTGCATATCCCCGTAGGGTTCGCAATCTACTACCAATACTATCCTTCTCCTCTCACTTTAACCCTTTGGACCAACGGCTTAACGTCTCTTTCCGAAAGACGGAGCCTAGTTTTCTCCGCACAAGAGACTATCTTGCACGGAGGGGCGTAGCTATCGGAAAAACATCCCATGCTTACATGGCTCTAGTGGACTCGAACCTGGTTCCTCAGATTACGAGTCTGGCGCTTTACCACTAGACCACACTGCCGCCTTCATCGTGTTTTTAAAATTAATGTTTCCATTTTTCTATTAAAAAATAATTAATAAAATGTATCCTATCATTTTTCATGATCGGAATTTTCATTTAAAATTCAGTCCGAGAATGGAGTGACAACTCCGCCCCGGCAATTTTGACATTTTAATTTTTGCACCTTTGTCGTTTTCACCCTGTACCAGTTGAACAAATAAACGTAGACTAAAAATGTCCGTATAAATTTTGTAGCCAAGGGTTCATTCTTTACAACGGTATACCACATTTTACTAAAATTATTTGTTTTGTTGTTAAAAATCGGCACTGAAAAAATAGTGACGACTTCACCCCAGTCTCCCCTATAATATAAAAAAAATAATTACGTAATATTATATGTAATAATTATATTATATACATAAAATAATAATTAATTATAAATAAATTAAATTATATACATTAATTAACTTAATAATGGTTATACTAAACATACAGTTACATTAGATCTTTTTAAATATCACGGGATATTCCTTTCAGTTGCGAGTTGCCTTAAATAGTGATAATTAGAATCACGAAGAGATAACGATTCTACAGGAAGAAATAAGTTGAAAATGTGTAACAGAATTTTTTCAAATATTATCAGAACTCTGATTCATGATAATCGAATGCTTAGCAATCGTTGAAACACCGTTACATATTACGTAAATCACGCTGAGCACCATTCACGGTGATTAGCGGAATACCTCCAATATCAAGGCCGGTTTACAATACGTGGAGTAAGGAGTAAGAGTAGGCAGGATTAAACGTTATAGCCTGTTGGGTCTTGATTGGCCGAGCCTAAGTGTAAGAGTAAGAATAGGAGTAAGAGTAAGAAATAAAATTAATTTATTTCGCTTACGCCCTTACGCCAGCTCTCTTAATGCCTACTCTTACTCCTTACTCCACGCTTACTTCGTGTATTGTAGACGACGCTTCAGAAAATGCGGAAAGTACACGTCGATAAATGAAGCAGTATACTGCGACTAAAACTTTAAACTTTGAACTGCCGTTTTGTCGGTTTATTTTTGTCTGACGCGGTATTTTGTAAATATCAACCACAGTAAATACAGGCGTTTTTCTAAGATTATTCCCGGAATTAATCGGGAATAGACTACAAATATTATCGATATTAATTTTTGAAATAAACAGACGTTAACTTTCTAACATTGCTACATCAGGATCATGTGTTTTTATGTCGGACTGTATGGCGATAAACAGTTCTTTTTGTTAATCTATATG